TTATTCCGTTTTATTAAAAGTAAACAGCTGAGATTATCTGTTTGTTTGTAACGACAAATATTACTAAATCGACTTTAAAATAAGCTTTATTTCTAAAATATCTATCGAGTTCTGATCAGTATAGTATTTATCATTCTAATAATCGTAATCGATATCAAAGCTGAGATGTAAAACAAATTAAGTTGCATTATTTAAATTTGTTATAATTATCTGTTTCATTCCATTATCACTCAGAACAAATTAAGTCGGAAGGATCCAGCAACCTGATCGACTAAATAAATTAAAACTATATAAGATATAACTCCTGACACTAATACTGTTTTAGTGAGTCTACATTCTGAAGTTAAATAATTTGCAAAAACAAACTTTAGGAAAAATGGCATAAAAAAGTCAAATACATCTCCAAAATAGCTTTGATTTCATCAGAATAAAACAAACTAACAATATCATTTATGTTTGGTAAAAGTAGCCCCTGTAGGCTAATATGAAGTGCGTTGTTACTAGCTGAGTATTCACTAAGATGGTTGCGACATACTATGGCATACCTCGACAAACAATGTTTACTGGTCCAGTAGGTTGAAAGAAATCAGGGCCTACTCAAACCGAAACATGGCTTCAGTCCTTGAAGTGTGTGAGCGAGGTTTATATATATATATATATATATATATATATATATATATATATATATATATATATATACTAGGTGGTTGGAATCCTCATGATCAATGATTGGAGGATGTTGAGTTATACGTTGAAGATGCAGTCACTTTGTGCTTTACTCAAAATTTCAGTCTCAGTATCCCTTCTTACATACCTTCTTATTTCGTCTTTTGGGATAACATTTTCAATGTCTAGTTATTCTTATTATTGTCCTAATAAATTATTTCGGACTCTTTAACATTCACCTTGTTAATTCCATCTCATTATGATAATGTGGTATGAGAACTTGAACCAACGTATATGTATGTATATACCAGATTATACTTCGATTGTGATTGATTATCGCCAGCTGCGATTTCCTAGTTGACCGATGGAATAATGATAGTTAAACTCTGTGCAGACAAATGAGCTCTTAAACATCATTTACTGAAATCAAATTAGACATTGTTAGGATATTCATTAAATATCCTAAAGAAATTATTTTGAGTCTAATTCTATTGGTCAATTACTATTGGTCAGTATTTAAGGTCGTCCTAAACTATCAAGTTGACATACTTTTGAATGATGTTTCCTATTGGTTAGTATTTACGGTCGACCTAACTGTATAAATACGTATTGTCTGTAATGTTTCATGCTCCTCTTATTCTTCTGTACAAAACCTCGATTTTCTGGGTACACTTTCTATGCCATATCAAGAACTTTCGATACTGTTAGCAGGGACTTGGGACGCTCCGATTAGAGTAGCCTATCGTGTCAATGGATCACTTGTCTTAGCTCTTGTTTACCGACTAAGATGAACCCGTAATATTTCAAGCATATCAATTTGACGAGCCATAACAGACAATATATGCAAAAAATTATCTACCACCAATAATATATAAAACACATTTTGTTCAGTATAATGATAATAACTAAAAGAACAAAGTCGACTCTCTGAATTGACTGAATAACATTAGGGAAAAATAGCATCGGTGTATAAACTCATATTCAAAACGGTTTAATTTTAATTATTCCCAATTAATCTGCTTGAGCATCTTAATCCCATTAACATTTGTAACCGATGGTTAGAGACCTTGAACGACATGACTCAGAATCGTTTGCGATGGCGAAGGTGCATCCACTCATTGTGTTCTTTCAAATTCTAATCTTCAGAATTCCTCATCATCTTTATCATTCTCATTCTAAAGTTATCTTACTGAACTATACTTCTTGAATAATATCTTCGATCCCTAAAATATTCTCCATTGCCGCTAATCCTTCTACTATCTAAACCGCTATGGGATTTGAACTGACATTTGAGTCTCTGTGCTAATGTGGTATGGCAACCTGAACTTATGTACTGACGTACTGACTGACTGACTGATAATTAACATTCAATGAACACACGAAGAGGTGTTCACACTTTTGACCCACTTAACTGTAAATTTAATGCTTAGAAAGATGAAATTCAATTCATTTAGAGTATTCCAATGACATAGCAAGATTTTAAAAGCCATGAAAATGCTGAAACAGCTGGAAACAGCCGGCAGGAATCAAGTAAATGACTGCTGCTTTGATCTGACCTGACAAATATATATTTTGTTATCACTTTCACCATGCTATAGAACCATGAGGTTACACAATTTTATGAATACTCTCATCTGTTTGTGCAGAAAAATAGACCCTGGAAATAAATTTTCTACACTTTTCACATGTTTTCTCTTCAAGGATTCAAGAGTGTGAAGGACTAGAAATTTAGCATCTTACCGTTCAAGGACAAGATTTACCAAGCTCGACAAATTGTTTAAATATTTACATACTATTGTGATAAGCATCAAGTCATCAAAAAGCTAAACGTTTAAAATACTAATTGAGAAATGTTTTGGAAAGAAACCTGAGATGTACGAAGAAAAAATAAATCTACCAAGAGTTTCTTATATTTCGTTTTTATAATGTGAGTACAATAAACCGACAAAGTTCATTCACATATCATAAAAAATCAATCGATTAATTTAATTCGAATTTCTCAAAAACCATTTCATTTGTTAACCCGTGCACGAACTGGTACGGCCGAGTGTACAGAGGGCTTGATTTCACTCCTAACGTACTCTCATAGTTACTTTTTTTAGCTTCTGCCAAGGGAGCTTTACTAAGTCCCCTAGAGCCGCTTGGGCGTTTTTTAGAAGAGCGAGGACAAAAAAGAACGTTCGGAGTTGTGCATGGGCTATAGGATTCGGAGGGAACGAATGGCGCATGAAGATACTTTCGATTGTCCGCTAACATGGAATTGCGTCGCTCGACATAACTCCTATACTATATGGATTGAGTCTCAGGAAACTATCTGGTTCGGTTTGGATTCCAGGATAGTATCGCGACCCAAACAAATATTTTTTAATGCCGTGCATTTTATTTTCAGTGCTCAGTTAGTTGCATCAGATTTAAACAAAATGAAACTGTTTCTTAGTGCAAAGCAGAGAAGCCGATGGATTATTAATGGATTATTCTCAGTTGCATATAAGATCGTCGTTCAGTTTTAGATATCCGATCAACTGAGATATCAGCTTCGATAAGGAGCCTAGAGATGGAGATGGAAATGTGGAGACTATAAATGTATAAAACTTTCTTAGAGTACCTAAACCGATAAGCTTGTAGCTTCATTAATGACTTACTTTTTTAATACTCTATCCCTAAACTAAGTACTGCCTGTAATCAACTGTTACAGACATTCAGCAATATTGCGTACAATTAATTCCAATAGTGCGGCGGTGTTGACTCTCTAACTCACTCAAAATCTTCACTTGTGTTATTCCTAACTTATTAACTGATTTCTTATTTATTCTTTGATATGCATTTCCTGTGTACTTTCATGTTTCCACTATAAGTGAAATAAATTACCCTCCTGTGTTCCTTATCTTTTAATTTCATGTCACTTTGCTGTTCGATATGGCAACTTGGACTAACACATATCCATGCTGGAATTTACATTTATTATTAATGACTGATAAATTCCAATATTTGCAATAATTAGGTTATTTGTATAACTATCTGTAAGCCTTAACTAGTTCCCCTTTAAGCTCCACAGTCTATTGAACCATTAAACGTAGTCATGTTTAGTTTTTATTTATGGCATGAAATGCTACCCTTCCACGGTGTGGGCAGTCGAGAAGTAACCTCCGACCTCATACCAATCAAAACACACGAGACCGAATTGGTCACAATCAAATCCTTTCTACACCTCCTAATAACTCTCTTATCTCCGCAACCAACCCTTCTTTCGAGCGTTTATCACCTAGCAACACGGAAGCAAACGGTTTGAGCTCACGAAACATTAATTCTGGTACCTTGAAACCCCGTACTAAATAACATATTTGAGCTTTTAATGTTCAAACCTTGTGCAAAATGGGGCAACATGCTTCATTAGCTAGGACTCTGAAATCCCGTGCGATCGATGTATGTTGCGTCTCCGAAACGCGCATACAAGACCCGAGTAAAAATCATCAATCCGATTTCACCTAGTGCAGGTAGAGACACAACATGGTTTACACTTCGTGTTTCAGGTAACCCTGATGCTGCCTCTTGTGGCCTCGCCGGCGTAGGTATAGTATTACGTCCTAAGACAGAACTCGCTCTCAGACTGGATCCCGGTAGGCAGTTGCTTATGCGCTGTCAGACTAAACGAGACGGTACGGACTAGGAGGGATAAGGACACTCGCCGATTCTGCTTCGTCGTATCTGTGGAAACAGCAGTGATATCTGCTAGTAAGGTAAACCATAAGGTTAGAGAGAAGCCGTGGATTTCAGTAGCATCGACCAAACTGATGGATGCTCGAAAGCTCATCCCGCCTGGCTCTGAGTGCGGTGAGGAACGGAGTCAGCTTAGGCGCAGGCTGATAAAAAAGCCAAGCAATGATCGCGAACAGTGGTGGGTAGCGAAGGCAAAGGAGATGGAAAAGGCAATGGCGATAGGCAACAGTCAACTACTATTCAGACTCATCAAGGAAACTGGTGTTAGGATTCCGACTGTAAGTGAGACTATCTCAGAAAATGATGGGACTATTATTCATTCTCATTCCAGGAGATTGGATCGATGGGCAGAACACTTCAGGGATCAGTTTAATTGGCCTTCAGCCACATTTCGGTTGCCCACGATTTCCAGTGATCCTGAATGGCGAATCGATGTACGTTGCCCGACTCTTCATGAAGTTGAGAAAGCGATAAGAAGTCTGAAGCAAGGGAGAGCAGCAGGGCCTGATAGATTGACTCCTGAAATTTCTAAAGATAATGGTCCACTCTGCTAGAAATGCTTTGAACGATCTTGGAACACAGCTATACATATTTATAAATATTTTCAGTATACTTACCAAATAACTATCATCTTCAACTGTAGGCTGAAATCGTTTATCTTCCAATTCCGGTAGACTATCCGTAGCATGTAAAAGATTATGCTCAGATTTAGAAAATGATGCTTTTAAGAATGTATTATGTTGTTCAGTCGATAATGCAGGACGTCGTGCTGTCGTACTGAAATGATTATTTGATTGTGGGACATAATACTGACGTGATGCTGAAGATATATCAGGACGAGACCGAAAATAATCACGCGATAATATAGTAGTAGTTAATGGTTTTGTTACAGATGGTGACGATGAGGAATATTGAAATGGTGATTTATAAACAATAGGACCATCAACAGAATATGATGAGTTTGGTGGATTTAAACTGATTTCATTATTTTCATTATTTATTTGTAATGGATGCATGAAATGGTGATATGTGGATGATGGATCAGTACCACTAGTTTGTGATAATACCATTGAACGACTCATATGATTTGATTGATTTTCAAAAGGTCGTAAATGATGGTGTATAGGATTAGGAGAATTTAACTGTGGTGATGTAGGAAAACGATTATTGATTTGATTAAACTTCCATGTATTTAAATAATTTTGGCTATTAGTTGTGCTATTGTTATTATTATTATTATTTGAATTAACAATTTGATCACAATGAAATTCGTTGATTAGTTTACCTGGTTCACGATAATCATGATCATGAAAATCTTTGTACTGGATTCGACCTCTCCGATCAACCATCTCTTGCATAACGTACGGTGACTGCTTAGAAACTGGTACACTAATATTTTCATCAACGATTTCTAAGACGTGAGGATAGTATGGACTTGTAGAACGTGGAAATGGAACTGGCGATTGAGACATTATATCACCACTATATCGAGTATTCCAATTATTATCATTATCACTTTTAAAAGATTTCAAACGAGTTGGTGAATTGGTCAAACAACTTTCTTTGGCTGTAGGAATACCATAACTTGGAAGTAGTCTCGATTCTGAAGTGAGATATTGAGGTAGTGCTCTTTGTCGACGAAATCCTTGAGATAGTTTACGCGCAACACCTCGATTTCCAAAAGAATTAATATTATTATTATTATTATGTCTGTAAGAACTACTTTCAATATCTCCAAATGTGTGTTGTGAAGAAATGGATATTTGTCTACCAGGAGTAACATAAGGTGCATTCATTGAAGATCTATCCCCACTATTTTCATCTGATTCCGGCTCTAGATAAGAACCAGATCCAACATCCTTGTTTACATCTCCAGAATTTTGAAAGATTCGCTGAGAATTTGTTATGTTAGGCTCACAATTACAAAAGTGATTATCGTTATTATTACCATTTTCTGATGGCATTCTGGGGAATACTTCGTTACCTTCTCCATTGACACAATCAAGTAACTGATTATTTGTCTCATTAAATTTGTTCAAATGATTGGAAGCATCGTATTCGTCTCCAACCCCATTAGAAGCACTTGCAACAGAAGAAACGGGACCTTTGACTTTCACGACAGCATCTTCGTTTTCAGAAAGGACCGAACATTCTCCATCTTCTCCACCAGCAATCCAATGACTAGCAAGTGTAAGTGGAACAGCTTTTGTCATATCATGATAATTACTGTTTTCTCCTTGGTCTACCAATACAATAACAGCATGTGTGCAACTTGTATCGCACCGCGTCCCTGAACCAGCCCCAGCAACACTTGCTGTACTTCCCATAGTACCAGTGCTTCTAAGATGAGCTGAACCTGCACTTATAGGACGACGATTAGATGAATTGCTATTAGCTGTTCCTATACCAGGTTGAAGTTTATTTGGATCATTATTACGGTATCCACAACTTATTGGTATAGAATTTTCCGTTGGTTGACATGTTGAGTCGGTATTACCAACTTTAGCTGAAGGAGAAACACGATTAGCTTGAGAATGTGGGGGACAATAATGATCTGTTTTGGTGATATCCTTAGAAGCAGCTTCACGAGCTCTCGCCGCTCCAGCTTCTTTAACAAGACGTGGAGTAGTGGCAGGTCGATGAGATCGTGCGCCTGCATTTGAAAATGATTTACGCGGTGTATTGTTACCGTGTTGATGTTGAGAATTTTGATTGCTCAAAAGTTCGTCGGCAGTATTACGATGGTGTGAAACTATACCCGACCTTGAATTTAGAACAGTACCATTTGATCCACCATGACACTGGACAGCATCAAAGGATTTCCCTACATTTGCCAATGAAGTAGTTGCACCTGGACTCGCAACAGCTATGTTTGAACTACTTCCAGCCAGTTTAGTTCCACTTATATATCCACTTGACCCTGCTAGTCCTCCTGGACCAACATTTGCACGATTTTGACCTACTCCAGAAGGAATACCCTTCCGGAACTTGGAAACATCTAGTGTTCCTTGTATCCCAGCTACAGTGACCTGAACAGCTTGTTGGGTTACAAGAGGTGTTTGTGTTGTATGGTGCTGATTAGTTTCACTAACACCAGTGGTTGGAGTAGGTTCGGTTGTTATCTCCCAATCAAATGGATCAGATTCATTTATCCTACGACGTTCCATATAGGCATTCAGTAAGGAATGCAAATACATGTAGTCTGGGCGATCAAAATAGGTCAGATTTTGAATATGTTCAAGAAATGGTCTGAATTCACGTGGCATAAACTTCAGTAACTGATTATGATCAAAAGTCTGTTTCAGCAAGCCAACCTGCTCCTTATCTTTAATTTTTCGCCAAGGTAATTCACCAACTATGAATTCACCAAGCATGTAATACAACGACCAAAGATCATCGTGGCGTCCAAGTTCTTTATTTAAATGGGCATTAACAGAAGCGTACCTGACAGTACCACGAAAACCGGCTACCTGTCTAGGAGCGCGAATATCTCCATTTGCAGTTGTATACTGACGAGCCAGTCCAAAGTCAAGAAGCACAATTTGTCGAGGACTTACAGCACCAGGTCCAACCCCAATTCCTAGTGCGAAATTTGATGGTTTTATATCTCTATGAAGAAACCCAACATTATGAACATTTTCAATAGCAACAAGCATTTGACGAGCTAGTCGTACAGTTGTACTTATAGTAAAACATCCACGACGAGTTGATCGTCTTAAATCTGCTAGATTTTTACCTTGAAGACTCATTACTATATAATTAAACTGTTCATTCCTACCGCACCCAATAAAACGACATGTGTGCGCACGTCCTTGTAGTCGTTTAAGTACAGCAACTTCCATTTTCAATACTTGTTTTGGTTGTTGTGCTGATTCGACTTTCACAGCAACCTTTTGTTGATTGACCAAATCAACAGCTTCATAGATTTCTCCAAAACCACCGCCACCAATTTTAGTGTAAACTCTCCATCTTTCTTTGATTATTGTGCCAACTGGTACAATATCACTACTTGAAGACGTCATAACGATATAATAATTTGGTTAGGCATGTAGGCCTGGATATTCAAATATTCAGAAAGCACTAGAATAAGGAAACAATGAGCTAACTTTAATGTTGATATAAAAGCCAAAATAAAAAAAATAATAAGTAATAAAAGCTTCAAAGCTAAACAAGCGAAGTAACATGTAGTTTTTAAGGGAATTTCATTAATTCAAATTACTAAACTTTCCAGCACGGTTATGACATAATACGATCAAGAAGAAGAATCTATAATAGATAAACAGAGCGTAGAAACTATCAAATACAAAACTAATGATAGTGAGTTGAGGTGTACACTATACTGTTTGCCCTAGTACTTCGATGAGCCTCATCAAGAAGCGTATCTTTAACTGTATAACAGACATCCATAATCAACCCAAATGATTGTTAGAGGCTAAACAACCAACTACGTACTCATATACCCCGGGGATTCAGGTCATAAATTTCACTATACTATTCAGCATCCTCAAAAAGAGGAAATATGTAGAAAACGACTGGAACATCTCTTAACGTAATAGAGACACTACTACAGTGAGAATATCAATTAATCCAAACGGTATACATAAATAGTAACTGGCGTATGATATTACCGTGATAACTATTCCTCATCCGGTTCAACTTGATGTACAAAGATATGAAATTAATTTAGCTTATTAAACTAAAGCGACAGGAAAATAATTTAACTAAGGCATTTTATCTGTTTCGGTGACGAATAATTTCGCCAAAAATACAACCTCATAAGCTTTTTCATGTTACCATTACACCACCAATTATAGTCCATCATACCTAACAACTTACTGGTTAACACAGTATATAATAAATTTATAAAGAATGAATAACCAGCAGTACTATAAACTTTTATACATGCTACAAAATTTACGTTAGTAAGCGCGTTGTTTGGAGAAATTTCATTAGCTTATGTTTTGTTGCTACCCATACTAAATTTTCGTAATGTTCCAATTTTAGCTAAACATCTACTATGTAGATCATTTGGCGAAAGATGTTAAGTAAATTTATACAGTTCAAATATTAATAGTTAAAATAAGTTAAAAGTGAGGATAATTATTTGTCTATCTGCGTGGTTAATGAAGAGCCACAACAGATAATTTTTAAACTTTACATTTCGCCTCATAGGGATAATCAGCCGCGAGCTGTCAAAATCATTCGTACTCTGAAAATCACGCCGAAGTATGTAATTTTCGAATTATATTACCTTGTTATTATACAAACCAACTCAGGTGGATAGAATCACATAGAACTACGAATAAATATCTGTACATATAGGTTGTAGAGCTCAGCATTAACAAACGGAAATTGATATGACTGAACAGATTATTTAAAAAAAGTGTAACTAAACTTCATTGGACTTTAGATTAAAACGCTCAAACAGAACGATTTCATGGGTGAAGCTGACAAAGTAACAACAAGATATGGATGCATCTGGAAACTAGCATATTAATTCTAAAACTTTGGATACATCCAATGAATAACTTTTCCAGACGTCATATATAATACTGAGCAGGAGGGTAGCCAACAATAGCGACTGTTTATGAACGACACTTCAGTTGATCAATTTCTTAGTCTTAAAATATTTCTAAAATCCTCGACATTAAAAATATTCTCTTAAAAAACCAAGTTTTATAAAATAGTATTTTAGACAACCGGCATAGAAGTACTGTTTTATCATCTTGTTTAGAAAATTGTATAACTTGGTGATTTTTATACTATTTGCGGAGGGTATCACAAACGCCTCTTTTTCTTCAATTTTTATATCTTATTACAACAGTTCTGTTGTACCTTCTTGTTGCTACTATCACTAAAAACACTGAATAGTTTGTTTGTACCTACGTTTTTATATTATCGTCTCAACAAAGCAGCATAATTACTCTCTACTTTATTGGTTACATACTTCTGTTTACTAAATTAAAACCAAGTTATAAAATTTCATACAACAAATGAATCCTGACATACAAACAGTTGTTAACTGACCTGAAATATATTACACACATACCAATGAGCAGTTCTGAAAATGTAGTGGTTGAAAAGGATTCTATGATTGAATCAACGGTTTCATTACTTAATAGGTACACTTATATTGACATGTTAACTGTTACAGACAACAAAAACTGAAAGTCACAGACGGCTTAACTATCTATCATCTATTGCATGTTGACCAAGGCTTATCAAAACGCTTTGTGGTTGAGAACAATCATGAAAATAAAACCTCCATACATCATTCTCGCCAACAATAGCAAACTGCCGTAATGTATTTTCTATCATAGTTGAATTTCGAAACACGGTCCACTCACTCTAAGTAAAGCTTTTAGTTCTAGGTAAAGTAAAACGAAAAACTGAAACAAATGCAACTTGACTTTAAAGATGCACGAACATCTGTTGACCATATTTGAAATTAAGATTAACTTCTTCATTAGTGCTGCTGGTTTGTATTATTCCCGAACGCGAGTAATATGTAATAAGACAGTAAACCAAAAGCAGATAAGATTGACTATCATTTTTACTGAACAATTTACATAATATGTTCGGACTCATGATTTGTTTCTACAATATCTATAGGCTCAAATAATCTCAACAAGCGTCCCGTAGTAATTAACTAAAACGTATTCATGAAAGGATATTAAACACAGAACTGCCAAGTATACAGCTGGGATTGTGATACTCGGTTCTAACTATAAAGTGTGTTTTTCCGAAAAAAATTATCTTCAAAGCCCTACAGAGATTTAAGTCTCTGTTAATCTTCGACTTAATATGGCAGCAACCAAAATTTACCTTACTCTACATATTTACCTTAGTATGTAAATGTACAGAAGACACTCCATTTAAAGATTGTGCCAGAAGGTTTTCAAGGAATAGATAAATTTTCCACACATTTTAAGAATCTATGAACTTCTTAGCTAAATGCTAATATAAAATTAACAATATCTTAAGTACATTATAGTGTCATATGAATATAATTCATAGTTAAAATACTTGTAATAAGGTCTATGAATTGCTCCTTCTTTCAAACCGGGATCGGAGCGCACTCTTCGAAACTGGCGTCTCCTCGCCTTGTCACTGTTAACAGGGAACAACCCAGTTTTCGATGCCAGACATTTAAGTGTTCCCGAGATATAGACCTGATATCCCTTTATTGGTAGACAATCAGAGTAATAAATTAAACAAACGAAACCATACCAGGAAACCACAAAGCCATAGGTCTACCTGTCTCGATCAACAGCTCTCTTCCTAGGTCCTTCAGCGGCAGAATGCACACATTCCAATATTCAATGCCTAGAATATCCAATTTCTTTTTCACAAGCAAGTATAAATAAATTGTTTACTTTGCGCTCGATTCTTGTTCTTTCGATACGGTTCCAAGTGTTTACTAGGGCTCAAAGGATAGCGCTCTAGACACTCGACTGCACTAATTCTAGTCAGTTGGTAGTGGTTTGTGAGTTTATATGTCCCATGATTTGAATGAGTACGTTTGTTTCAGGGCAGTAGGGTTTCTGGATACCAGCAGCTATCACTTTGCCAGGCCAGAGATCAGTTAGTCACAGTGTGGAGAATGATAAGGAGAAATTATAATGCTAACGAGAAGGAAATTTCAGAACTCAGTAAGTAAATGGATGATTTAGTTTATTGATCGGTAGTGAAGATTGTGCGAGAGGATTGAAGTGAGGGCAAGGGAGAGGGAACATGGATAAAAAGCGAGATAGATTCAGTTGAGGACCTGAGGAGATGGCAATAATAACAACAAGCAAGTGCCAGGCTATCCTTCATGCATGTGAGAACTGGCCTCTGCAGAATGTTTGCTTGAGTAGAATGTTCATTAATGTCTTTTGCAGTGGATTGTTGATCGAGGTCGACTGACATCAATGTGGAATTGTTTTGACGTCCCTGTTGTTGCCTCACGGATCTAAGTCGGCCTTCGCAAAACCTTGTGTTAAGAGAGATCGTTCTTCGAACTGTACCAAGCCTGAAGCACCCAAGTCAGGTCTCCCCGACTTCTGAATTTCAAAGCCATCAGACGTCGTGACTTAATGGTCGTGAGATGTGACGGACGAGGCAGCCAGGAAATGCTAGATGCCGTGGTGGTGTGAAGGCCCATGCTACGTGATAGCCATCGCCACAGATGCAAGTCATACGCGTAAGCTTCGTCCAAGTTACCGTCAGCCAGGTTGAGCTCACCATTAACTACCATACTGCTTGGCTCTTATGTGCCCTGTGATGTCCTGTCTATAGGAATCTCCAGAGGTGTGGCGAAAAATCAATGATTATTTTACGATGCTTAAGATTCGCAGATACAAGCGTTCATTCCCTTCAAATAAACAAAGTAAAACATTCAGAAAACTTTCTTCATGAGTTCACATCTTTGAAGACCTTAAATCCTTCTTTTCAATCTGTGAAACTTCAGGGTTCATAAGGCTATTACGTTTCCGAAACGACGGAAATGAAGAGCTTGACAAATTGAAAAGTAGTCTTGCATGACTTTCGAGTAAACGCGTGCGTATACAGAAAGAAATTCTATTTCTTATCTAACATGAGACGGATATACATGAAATATTCGGTAACTTATCCTCAAAATTTATTGGAGAGCAACGTGTTATCTTTGACAACATAACACCCGTAGAATCTAATTTGAAGGCATTGTTTTAAGGAAAATCCCTCCATGTACATATCTGTAATATGTTCTTACTGTTACGGGAGAAATGAAGACATTTGGCTGATCAAAGACGAGGAAATATCGAAATTGAAGATCTCACAATTGCGTAATAATTATGGGCCAAGAGCTTCTGTTGATAAGTCAGCATCACGGGCTTTATCGTATCTGCTGTTCGGATCAAGTGGTGGTGGATTGTCGATTCATCCTTATGATGTGGAGAGTAAATCCAGAATAAGGTGTGACCAACTTTACGATGTGTCAGACATGTTCATGTGGGTTACCTGGATGACGTTTATACTACCGTTAGGTCATGCTACGATA